ATATTTCCACAGTCCTCTCCCTCTATTTATTTTGGAAGATCAACCAAAACACCTCTTGAATCTCTGGAATCTTTTCGGAAATACTTTCATCCACAAGCTTGACATTTGATATATGATTAGCCCGACGCCTTGAAGAGGCCACCATATGTAAAGAAGTGGGTGTTCACATCACCCTTCTGTAGCCAACGAAGTATTGCCCTTTGATGTCATTCACAAGCATAGTTTGTATTTTTATATCTGGAATATACCTTTCCAAACTTTATGTTATCCAAAATAGCTTTGTCCTTAGATTCGACGGCTTTGGTTTCAGGTTTAGGAGGATTGGTTTGAGAGGGAGTTGGAATAGGGGTGTGAACGAATCGATTATCTGTCTAATTGAGCTTAAGCTTATTTTGCTGTTACTGAGCTCGAGCTCGACTCGTTAAAAAATTCATAGGCTCGAGCTTGACTAGAAAGCTCGAGCACGTTTAGAAAGCTCGAGCTCGACTCGATTGTGGAGGTCGATTTCCTATTTTTAAAATAAAAAATTCATTTTTTTTAGAATTATTATTTTTTAATATAGAATTTATTTGTAATTACTAAAATATATTATATGGTACTAATTTAAAATAGTTATTAAATATATTTTAATTTAATCAAGCGGCTTAACGAGCTTTCGAGTTGAGCTAAGCTTGAGCTCGAGCTCGTTTAATATATGAGCTCGAATATATGCTCGAGATCGAACTCGTGGCTCGATAAGCTCGAATCCTGAGCTCGAGCCGGTTCAGCTCACTTACACCCCTAAGCTGAAAAGTTAAGAGGGGTAAGCTTTCTTTCTTCATTATTCTCAGTTTTAGTCTCACCCTACTGACGAGGTTTGGTGAAATAATATTTTTGTTTGTCAAAAGTGATATCAACAGATACAAGGGTTTTTTCACGGAGGGGTGGTAACACTTATAACCTCTCAAGGTGGATGAATATCTAACAAAGATATACTGAAGTGCTCTTAGATTTAATTTTTTTCTCTGTTTTGGTTTTGAATGTGAATATAGGTAGTGCATCCAAAAATTCTAGGTGTGAGATTGTTATGAGTTCTGACTCAGGGAAAAAGGAGGAGATGATATTCATTGGTGTTTTTAATCCCAAGATTTTTTATGGTAGTCAGTTTATGAGATGTGTGGTAGTTAGAAGGTCTTCCCTCCTAGTAGGATTTGTGTACATTGTGGTGGAATAAAAGTACACGGGTGGAGTCAAGAAGGTGAACTTTTTTTTCTTCCGCACCTCCATTTTGTTGTGGGGTGTAAATACAGGAAAACTCTTGAATGATACTTTTCTTTTGAAAGTAGGAGGATAGGGTTTGGTTAAAATAATCTTTGATATTGTTGGAACAAAATTTCTTTATTTCTACTTTGAATTGGTTATGGATCATAATGTGAAAAATGGGGAGGATAGTGCTAACATTGGATTTATTTTTTATGAGAAAGATCCAAGAGACCCGAGTATAGTCGTTAATAAAGGATACAAACCATCGGCCCTTGAGTGTTAAGGATTTATTATGGTCCTTTGATATCAGTATGAATAAGATAGAATGGAGTATGACATCTCTGATTTTTGTTTGCGAAAGAAATTCATTTATGCTTGGCTAACTCACAGGGTTTACAAGAATGATTATTTTTTCATTTCATAAAAAAAGTTTGGATACATGTTTTTTAAGATATCAAAGATGTCTTAATCTAAAATGGTGAAGCCAAATAATATATTTTTATGTCATATGGTGATAACATAAAATAGCTATTATTAATAATAGTGAATTTATTTAATTTTTAGGTAGTACAATTTATCTTTTTCCTTAGCAAACTCAATCTTCTTCCTTGATCCCTAGCCCTGAAATAAATAAGTAGGGTTAAATAGGACTTGATACTTATGGTCGCTTGTAAGTTTTATATGGAGATTAGATTTGTGGGTAATTGAGGTACGTGGAGTACATTTTTTAGAGTGAGAGATGGATATGAGGATGTCTCCTTGACATGCTACTGTGGTTAGAGAATCATTAATAATGATGATTTTTTTATCATTTAGGTTAGGAGTGTATTTGATGAAATGGGTAATCGTGTGTGTAATATGATTTGTGACTCATGAGTCAATGATCAATAATCCTTTCAAATGCTTTCTAAAGACACTTAATCCGATGGATATAAGAAATTTACCTGAAAGTGCGAGAGAAGAAGATGTAAGTGTGTTTTCAAGGGATACTAGGAGTTGTTTTTTAGCCTAACAATATCTTCTTTGTTGAGCTCTCTGAAGCTGGACTATGTTTCAGGACTGAGCTGACTTGTTGTAGTGTTAGCTTGTGATGTCTATTATTTTGCCCACTTTTTTGATTCCTCTCCTTGAGTGCTTTCCATGTAACTTCCAATAGATCTCCTATGTGTGTCTTAATTTCTTACAATAGCTGCATTAAAGAGAGTTTTTATTTTGTTTAGGTTTTGAGGAATCCTTACCTCTTTTCTTCCATAGTGCCTCTTTGGTTGTCACTATTGTTGAACCTTCAATAGCCTTTGGTTCCAGCATTAGGCTTTCCTCAGCATGAATGAGAGAAATTGTCTCATTTAGTGAATGTGTCTCTTCTTTGCCAAGTATTTGAATTTTAATTGGTCAAACTTCGCATTTTATCCTGCAAGAAAATCATACACTCTATCTATCTCAATAAAGTTTTTTAGGATAACATCTTTAAGCTAGCATTTGTAGTGATCAAGTTATTTCCACAAGCTTTGAAAGAGAGTGGCATATTCAGTTATGATCTTGCTTCCTTGTTTTGTGCTTCCTACCATGAGCTTAACTTCAAAGACTTTTGCAACATCCTAAGTTTTTGAGAAGTTTATCTGGCGGCATCCCATATGTCCTTTGTAGTAGAGAAGAACATGAAAGTATCACTAATTTCTGGATTCATGGAATTCCACAATAATGATATAATCGTGGAGTTCATTTCATCCTATGCCCAAAAATCTGGGTCTTCTTATTTTGGTCCTACCCTAAGAAGGTGATTCATCCTTCCTTTTCCTTTCTAGTAGCTCTTCACAAATTGAGATCACTTCAAATAACTTTTTTCATTTAAGCGATATGAAGGTTGTATATTTTGGAGTTCTCCTCTTCCATGTTGCACCATAGAGTTCTCTATAGAGCTTTGGTAGGAATTAGCTTTAGACATTATGATGGCAAAAGATAGCGACGAAGGCTATATTAATCAAGCCAGTAAAGTGTAGGGCAGCAATGAAGAATGCGTTGAACAATAGCCCTCAGGATACAAATAATGGCAATAAAGGATGTTGGTGGGACAACAGGGAAGTAGATTAATTATCTTTTGGGTCCCTTTCCCTCTTGGTTTCTCTCTTTCGCTTTTCGAGGGAAGGCCGACAATGAAGGTACAACAGTAGAAAAAAATTCAGAATTTCGGCAAAGGTAATGAAGGCTCTGATATCATTTTAAATTTAGAAAATTGGAGCGGGGAAAAACTTAATTTTATTACACCAAACTATCCCTATTAATAGATCTATGCAATATATCTTAATAAAGGAATAAATAACTACAAAATCATGCACAAGTGCCCTAATATAATCTGTTCTTATTGAGCCAACCAAATAGAAAGTAGATCGGTGTGATCCAGGTGAGCCTCCCACAGATACCCGTGCTGGCCGTGGGTTCAATGGCCAAAGGCACGGCTGAGATTTAGCAAGGAGAGCGGCATGATCTAGGTAAGCCTCCCACGGATCCTCTTGTTGGTCGTGTGATCAAGGGTCAAAAGGACGGCACGGATTGAACAACTCCCATAGAATTATTGCACTTCAAGATCAAGAAGAAATTTGCAAGGTTTGCCGCCATAGTACCAACCTTGTCAGGAGACCGCACCTCCCAATCCTTCTGAGCTTGATTAACCTTTCCATGCTTACCCAAAGTACCCTTCTCCCCTTCTGCTACTTGCTTCTCCTACTTGCCACTGGCTCTACCCTTCCTGCGTTATAGATATATGATTATTAGTGCACACATACTTGCATTTGTGAGGTTTGTTTTCTCGTTCCATACACTAGGTTACTATTTATAATATAAATGTCCTAAAATCTATCACAGTGAGAAAAATAGCTTTGAAATGCTTCCTAACCAAAGAATGCATTTTTCTTTTCGGAAAAAAAGAATCTTATGATTTTATCTAACCCGTGCTGGTAGTGCACACATACAGATTGCAGTTCTGTCATTGTCGTTATTTTATTTTTGTTTTTGTTAAGCAAACCAAACAAAGTGGGACCACTCCTGTTAACATGAAGATCTCCACTTCTCAAGGCAGCAACAGAAAACAGAGCAGCCGCCCTTGCAGACTGCAAAAGGAAATCACGGAAGCCTCTCAATAGCGGATAACACGTCAATAGCTTAACTTTATTACTTTACCTTTTGTCTTTAAGACCTGAGCTTGTTGTATAGAATACTATGCTTTTGTAACAGAAAACAATTAATGAAATGTAGTGTGGATGAAGGAGGTGTGCTGTGTGACGCAAAACCAGATTTAATGTTGAACTCTTCTTAGATCTTTCAAGATCATTCTCTGGTTGCATTAATGCTTGCTCTCAGGTAGTAGATGAAGTATTTATCAGTTTTTAAGTTATAATCTGCCAGTTGGCATTCCCGATTCTTATCGGCCTGATATAAACTTATGGCATATTTCCACGTTTCAAATTGGTCTCATATACCTGGGAAGTGTTTGTCTCCCAGCTGATAGTTCTCTCTTGCTTCGGACACAATATGATCAATTCAGTGAACTCTTCAAGTGATTCTGATCCGTTCCGCCTATTGTGACTACAGTTGTTACTCACTTAAATGAATAGTTAGCCTTTTCTGTTTTGTTTATTAGTTATCCTTGGCCTAATTTAAATTTTTGTCGTCTTAGGAAAATTGAAATTACGAGATCTCTACATTGGAAATATTTTCTTACGTAGCTTGATCACAGTGAATAATCTGATTTTCTTTTTTAGGATGTTGACTGCATGCCATGGAATCCAGTGGAAAACATTCCTGAAGCCCTGCGGAGACAGAATCTTGTTATCAACAAATTCTGCAGTGGCTTTTCAGATTTAAGGTTGGATGAACAAAAGGAGTTCAAGACAAAAGACAGCATGACATTTGCTTCTACTGAGAACATGGAGGCTGCAGATTGTACTTCTCATGTTGCCTCTTATAGTTATCCCATGAACACCTTAATAAATCAGGCGAAGGTTATATTTAAAATTGCAGTCACATGGCTATTTCTTTGGATGAATTGCATCTCAAAATATCAGCCTTAACAGAAAATACTTCTGACAGGGGGATACACTTGATGCTATTGTACAGGCTAAAGCTGCTGTAAATGAAGTTGCTGTTGCTGCACAGCAGGCCATGTATGGCCAACCTTTTACCTTGGCTCAGATACAAGCTAGGGAAGCTGATATTAGAGCGCTTGCAGATTTGTCACGCACTCTTGATAAAAAGGTCATTTTAATCTTCCTGCTTTAAATGTTTTTGTATAGATATGAAGCCTCAGTTGCTTGAATAATCAATTATTTACTTCTTCAAACACTTGGTCTTTCTACTAGAAAAAAGTTGCTCTGTGAGTAAAATTGCTGATCTTGCATTTGTTTAGAGTTTTAGATTGTTGTCTTTTTTAACCCCTTACAGATTAACGCGTGCCACTCTAGCTTATTCTGTTTCTAGGTAAATGGACTTTAAGAGCTTAGCTAGGTCTGGTCTAGGGAGGAGCAGAGAAAAACAGACTTTCATTATCATTATTGTGAAGATCAGTAGCGTAAGGGTTTTGACTTGACATTGATATTTATTGTTTTAATGAATCCACAATTACTCCATGTCCACTTCCAATGTCCCAATGGCTTTCGTTAAATTGTCAATATACCTAATACTTTGTCTTGAACTTTAAAGGGAGCTCATTCTTGCATATCGATATCTTGGTGCTTCCTTGATTGTAGTTCCAGATATAGGATACATGAGCAAGGAACTATATGAAACATTGATGTGCTCTTTAGTATTGCCCTTTTCTCGCAGATATTTGATTTCATTTTAGTTTTCTCTGATGCTATGCCTGTGATTTGCAATTACGATTTCTTAGATTTGTGTTTTTCCTTGAAATTTACAGGAGGCGTTACTGATAGAGCTGAGGCAAATGAATGAAGAAGTTTCTTCTAAACAAAAGAATGGTGATCATATCAAAGATTTGGAAAACTTTAGAAAGCAATATGCTATGGTTCTCTTACAACTTCGAGATGTAAATGATCAAGTATGTTGTTCTGCAGAGTTGATCATTTTTTCTTGGTGACTTCTTATAGCATCTGTTTCTGTGGAAGATGCACTCATGATATAATATCCTTGCAGGTTGCTTCTGCTTTGCTGTTTCTGAGGCAGCGGAACACCTATGAAAGAAATTCGACTCTTGCATGGAACAAGGCAAATGAGACCTCTATGCAGCAGGGCTCCTTTAATCCCTCTGCTCTCCTTGCAAACGATTCAGGATCTAATGTTGTTGAAGTTATTCAAAGTTCTAGGCAGAAAGCAAAGACAATGGTTGATGTAGCTGTCCAGGTATGGAAGATATTGATGTTCACTGAGTTAAACATTAATATTCATTTAACTAGTTTTTTTGAAGTTACAATGTACTACAGGTAATGCATGCCCTTAAAGATGGAGAAGATGCTTTTGTTAGAATTGGGGAGGCTTTAGAACTTGCAAGTAATAGAAATTCTGGCTCGACTTCTGCTATAGCAGCAGTTAGACATACTTTTGCTGATGCGGCACCTGAAAATGCTGCACCACATCAGGATCACGTTTCATCCAAGTTAGAGGCAGCCAATATTCAAGCTCCCAACCTAAAATTTCAATCTTTAACTAATGGAACTGAAGTCCACTGTCCATCAGAGCTAATTTCATCCTGTGTGGCTACTCTGTTCATGATACAGGTGAGTTGGTGATTCTATGATTAAATGCTTGGATATCCATTCCATTTTCGCGTAAAGTAAGACAATCATGCTTGTTGTACGGTAAATTTGGTGCAAAGAAGGATTTCAATAATGCGTAAATTAGAAAAAAGAACTAATTTTATGAAGTGTGTGGTTGGTGATTTTAATTGTATGGTAATATCTTAATTAAAAATGCAATTTAGTCTTCAAAAATAATCTGCTAAATTCATGTTGGATGGTTGAAGTGGAGGAATGTATCAGGCCTCTTGTGTGACAGAAAAATATCCCTCAATTTTAAAGAAAAAATCTATAAGATAGTGGTTAAACCTACATTGCTTTATGGTGCAGAATCTTGGTCATTAAAAGAGAAGCATAAAGTTAAGCTAAGTGTTGCATAGATGAGGATGCTTAGGTGGATGAATGGCTTCACTCTTAGAGACATGATGTGAAACAAGTATGTACGTGACAAGGATGGAGTAGTTCTAGTGGTAGATAGATTGGAGAGTCACCTTAGATTGTTTGGACACATCAAACGTCGGCCTTCCGATGAACCAAGTTAGGAGAGTAGATGTATCGGATTTAGCCTATGTTAAAAAGGGTAGAAGTATAAACCTTAAATGGACTTAGGCTACAAAATATTAGAAATGACCTTTTTTATTAAATTTAAATGAGAATTTGACTCTTAACATACCACAATTGAAAAAAAAAATGATTCATGTAGCTAACCCCATACAACGGGATAAAGGCTTGATTTTGTTGTTGTTGTTGAAGACAATTTTTTCATAGTTGCAAATATATCCTCATTGATTGAAAAATAGAAGATTCCTTCGTCGCTTTCCCTCAAATGTTTAGGATTTAGGTTTTCAAACAAATATGTTTCTCTTACAAGCAAATATGTCATCATTGTTGTTGTTATAAGATTTTTCTGATGATGTGCAGAGGTGCACGGAGAGGCAGTACCCCCCAGCTGAGGTTGCTCAGATCCTTGACTCTGCTGTGGCAAGCTTGCAACCATGCTGCCCTCAGAACCTTCCTATTTTTAGAGAGATAGAGACATGTATGGGAATCATCAAGAACCAAATGCTTGCTCTTGTGCCTACTCCTAGTAACGGAATGGTTACTTCTGATGCGCCTATTTTGTAGGAAATTCAAGCTAATATGTTGTGTCCACTTTGTTGTTTTTGTTCATATTATTTTCAATCACACAGGCTCTTCTAAATTAGGTTACCAGTTCAATGTAAAATTTAAATTGTTCAGCTCAATTTTTATTTTTATTTTTATTCAATGCTCATCAGCTTTATATTATGCGTAGTATTAATACCATGCAAGTCGAGTCTTGATCGAGAAAAAATTCCAAGTATCTTTGTTTGTTCATTAATATTGCTGGGTAATATCATACTTTCCGAAAAGTTTTTTTTTTTTTTTTTCATTTGATAAGCATTACAAAACATTATTCAAAACTATAGATTTTATTTGGATTAAGGGGATTGAGATTAAGGCTTTATTTGGGGCGGTTTTTTTGTTGCTTATTTCAAATAGAGTTTTAGTGCAAAAAGCTTAGGCTTTGTTTGGGATGGCTTTTTTATTATTTAAAAAATTCTAGTACAAAAATTAAGAAGTTTAACGCTTTATTTAAGGCGGCTTTCTTAATGTTTTTCAAAGTATTTTTTTTAATATAAAAATTTCTAATTGTTGGTTGTTAAGGAATAACAATTACAAAGATAAAGTTAATTCATGATAGATAAGTAGAAAATGAATATGTTACATTTAATTTTTATGCCTTGATTGACTATATTAAAATTAGAATTAATTTATAGTCAATGAAGTAAAAGAAATTGTTTTTTTTTTTTTTCATTTATTATTTTAGGAAAATTTAACTTTATGTTTTATAATACCTGTACTAGGATAAATTTGCCTGATATATTTATATTTAGAGAAATATGATTATAAAATTTACTTTAAATTAAATTATCTTTATTATACCTGTATCGTTCATGAAGTTTATCTTAAATTGAGCAATGGCTATTGCTCAATTGATGAAGTTTATGTCAAGCTAATCATACAGTATAACCATCACATAATATTGGATGATTAGCTAACAATAGAAACCCCATTGTTTGAATTTAACTTACTTAAAATTGTCAAATTTTAATTTTAAATTTTGTATTGTTTGTATTATATGAATCTCTTCATTCTACATGATTTTTGAAATCATTGCTTAATTAGGTCAGTTAATCAAGCAATAAACTAATATTTGAATTAATTATTGATTGTATTGTACAACTCTTTGAGAAGTCTCTAGATGAAGTTAATAATATCCAGTATGATCATAAGATCGTATTGTATAACTCACTCGATGACTCTGGATGAAAATTTGTTCGCCGTGTATGATTCAATTAAATTAGTGTTATTTGTTTAGTACGATCAATTGAAAAAAGGAGCTGATTGTATTATATAATATTCATAGTATATTACTACATTAGTATATTTGAATTAATCATATTGTATGAATAAAGATAAAATAATTAAAAAATGGGATTTTTTTAGAAGCCTACTATTTAAACTTTACTTAATTCATTTGAATGGATTTTTAGTAATACGAGGGTGTAGGACTTCTATAAGCAAGGGATTGAAGATAGAGATTGGAGAAGGCGAGAAAAAGGTGAAGTTTAGAGAGAAGGAGAAGTGGCTTGTGGGTTCAAGAGTGTGAGAGAGTGTTTGCACACGATTGCTCTAGCTAACGTCGCTTGTGGGTTCAAGAGTGTGAGAGAGTGTTTGCACACGATTGCTCTAGCCAACGTCCATCTTGTTCCTCCATGTGTCACTTTTTTCAAGGAAAATTCTATAAAGAAGCTCTTGGTGTTAAAAGGCCATTGGCTACTTTGCCGCATTAGGGGTTCGGCTACTTTATCGCACTAAGAAAGGTGAAAGCGATTTGGGCTACTCCGTCTCTTTAGAAGGGTTAAATGGATTCAGGCTTCTCTGCATCAACAGGAGGGTGAAGGGAATTTTGGTTCTAAATCATATCAAGGGTGAAAGTAAATTTGTGAGGGCTTCTCTGTCTTATCGAATAAAGTGTTTAGTTCAATACCAGAGGAGGGTTAAGTCAAGTTGACCGAACAACTATAAAATTTTGGTGTATTTATTCTTTTTATTATCTGCACTTTACTTTCTGCGTTTTACTTTTTGTATATTTATGTTTTGTAATTTGGTTTGTGTTGGTGATTATTATGATGCAAGATTTATGGTTGGTTGATTAAGTTTATTCCTTGGTTGAAAAAGAGAAAAAAAAAATTAGGAAATAAAAAACAACAAAAATATGTGTTAATTATTTTTCTTACAAAATAAGAAATAAAAAATTATTTTTTATTTCATTATTTGCTTATGCATTGCAAAATCTGATTATGATATTAAGTTTACGAAACTGTTTTAATTTCAAAATGGATTTTTAAAAAAATATTTTTAAAACACCAATTCACCCCCCTCTTGGTGTGTCATTATACTTCAAGTGGTTTCACAATTATTTTTTGAACTTTCAATTGGTATTAGAGCGGGTTCTCTGAATTTCTGATTTGAAAACCTTTTGATAGATATGATGGCACACTTTAGGAATTGGAATACCACTAAGGGTTATTCAATGACCCATTCACTATTTTTTTATACTATTCCTTTTGACTTTTGAAAATTTTGTTTGTTAACTTTTTTACAATCAATTTATTTTAAAATGTGGCACATGATACAAGTTGGTTATTCTTTTCCTTCTTATATCGTTTATAGTATTAAAATAGAATTTTTGTTTGCTAAATGGAGCATGAAGGATAAAGATTTAGCACAACCGAATACCAAATATTTAAATTATTTTTTCATGCACTTAAATCTAAAGATTATATGAGAGTTTCTACTTGCACTGTTGATAACAATTTTAGGACAGATTTTGCATTATATGTGAATGTATAAATGAAGTTAAACAATCCTAGTTAAATCTAGTGATGCATGACTATGAACTCTTCCACATAAAACCTAGTGAAACTATATCTGATATGTACAATAGGTTTACTAAAATAGTAACTTCATTGTATGCTTAAGAAAGAGAACTCTCTAATTCTGAGAAGGTTAGTAAGACTTTGCATTGTGTATTCGATTCATTCGATGTGAAAGACACTCCTATATTTGAATATAAATATTTGAACATATATTCTATTGACAATTTACTGGGATCTCTCATTGCTTATGAGTAAAATGTTAGCCAAAGATTGCTAGATGTAGGTGATAAGAAAAAAGGATAAAATTGTGGCAATGAAGGATGATGACACATATAGCAGTAGCTCCGAAGCTGACGAGAATAATGATATAATCTTAATGACTTGATAGTTTGAAAGCTTACTGAAGCAAAAAAAAACACCACCATGAAAGGAATAAAGATAAATCATGTAAATTCAATAAAGGTTCTTTTGACATTATTTTCTTTGAGTGTAGGAATCTAAGACATTTATGGCCTGATTTCCCTACTAAGGAAAAGAGTGAAGAAAAGTTCAGTTCTACAAAAGGAAAGCATAGGATGCAAAAAGCCTTATGGGCAAACTCAGCCTTGAACTCATTAGAGTAAGAGTTAGAAGAAGAGAAAACAAATTTATGCTTAATGGTAAATAATTGTGTTACAAGCTTCAATCAAGATGAGGTATGCGAGCTTATCAATGATGAATTATTTTCTATTTTTAAACAAATTCATGATTCATATAGGAAGCTAAAAAAGTAGCATTTGGCTTTGAAAAAAGGAAATTTTTTATTTAAAAAATGAGCATAAAATTTTAATTAAAGAGCTTTTTACCTTTAAAAATGAGCACATTTTATTAGTTAAGGAGTATGCATCATTGCTAGATGAATTTGATGCTTTAACTAAAAAACATATTGAATTGACAAAGTCACATTATTTGTTGAAAATAGAACATACTGAATTAGTAGTAGAAATTTAAGGAATTAGGGAAATTTGTTGTAGAATTAGATAACAAAGAGCATGAAGCATAAGTTGAATTTGGAGTTAAAAAGAGTGCAAATGAATACTTAATAAAGAAAATAAACACACTACAAAACAACACACTGGGGCCTATGCATGCAAAGCCACAGCCTATGACACAATATGCATCATATGTCCTTAAGAGAAGTATTATCCCCCATATAAATTAGTTAACATATTTCCAATAGTTAGGTGCAACTCTTATGGCATGTTGGGATACATACTTACACTTTACACTCTAAAATACCCCTAGTGTGGAGGCTTAAAGTATTAACATCACAACATAGCATGCATAGCATTCATATTCCTAAGCATAAAGCAAGACCCAATCTTTCTTTATTTAACAAATTTGGCCTTTAAATGAATTTGTATGAAAGCTCTTATAAGAGGTCAAGTGAGAGCATATGGTACCTAGATAATGATTGCTTCAGATGCATGATTGGAGACTTAAAAGCAATTTATTATGTTAGAGGCCAAGAGCATAGACAAGGTAATATTAGGAGATAATATCACTAGGAAGATGATTGTTTCATAAACAATTAGTAAAACTAATGACTTTATTATTAAAAATATATGTACTTTTAATAGAAGGGTTAAAACATAATCTACTTAGCATTAACAATATGCAATAAAGGTTTTAATGTAAAATTTCATTCAAATAAATGTTCAATTTTTGTAAATAAAATAATTATTTTAGATGGAAAAACAATATGGGATTGATCACAATTTTTATGCCCCTAAGAAACCATAATAGAGTGACATAGTTCAAAGGAAGAATATGAAACTAGTAGAGATGGCTAGGGCAATGTTAGCACTAAATATTTTTTTGCTAGAAGTAGTGAATGCTGCATTTTATGTGCAGAATTGGGTGAACATTATATCTAAGTTAAATAAGACACCTTACAAACTACTTAAGGGTTGAACACTAAATTTATCCCATATGAATGCCTTTGATTGTAAATATTTTATGCTTATAGATAATAAATCTCATCTAAAAAAAATTCATTCTAAGGTAGATGAATGTGTATTCTTTGGTTATTCCTTAATAGGTAAAGCTTATAGGGTCTTCAACAAAAGAATCTTAGTTGTAGAGGAATCCACTCATATGATATTTGATGAGTTAAATAAACCTGTTGAGCCTAAGATATAAGATGATGATGAAGTTGAGATTATCCATGGAGTAAAGAGTATTGACCTAGGAAATAGAGAAGAACCTCAGGAGCCTTTGTTTGGAGAGTGGAGATATTCTTCTAATCTCCCATGAGAGCTTATCTTAGTAAATCTATTTGCTCCGATTAGGTTTAGGTAAGGTCTTAAAAAAGAGGTTAGTCATATTTCTTTTATCTA